ATCTCAAAGAGTGGAAAACCTAGATGGCCCATGGCATATCTGTGTGATTCTCAGCAGCCTGACAAAAAGCCAAAGGTCAACTCCATCACTTCCATCATCTTGAGGCAATCTTTGTTTCATTCACATCTAAGTTGGTTATGTTTTTAAATAAATAAAGCATCAACGTGTTATGAAAACTTATTTGGTTATGTAACAAGAGACAAGCAAAATATTAAACTTAAATATAACAATGCAAGCATACATGAACACCCACTGTTTACTGTCTGGGATTCCTGCAGTGTGAAAGGTAAATTACTGAATGTTTCTTTCTAGTTACTGAGAACTTCCCTAGAGATTCTTTGAAGTGAGAAATTCCAATAAACAGGTTGCTTCCTGTCCTTTGACTTGCTTTTACAGTTTAAAAGTAAGCTCATGTTTAAGAGGCTAAATTTAGATAACTTAGAAAGTATTTTTATAATCCCAAATCAAGAAGGTGTGAGATGATTGCATAGTTATAGGAGGTGATGTTAACATTGGAATTTATTATTATATTATCAATTAATTCACGCTACATTTAAAAAGTCTGGGATAGGTAGGATTTTTATTGTTTTTGAAAGAAGTCTCTTATGTTCTTAATAGATATGATTAAATTTCAAGGTAAAACTCTTGTTGATGATTTTTGTTTTGTTTAAGCTAAAAGAATATTAAAATTATAATGAATAGTTGCATAATCTTCCTTTGTGAAGGAAAAAGTCTATTGCTTGTATGTGGTCTCTCAGTAGGCACTTTGGTAGAGTTTTGGTAGTTTAATGTCTTAACATGGTATACATTATTTTTGTTTGTTTTGTTTTTATTTCATATCAGAGAAAAGGATGTGCTGCAGAAATTATAATTGATACTGTTAGCAATAGACAGTATATTGTACATTACTTATTAGGTTCTAACTTGTTAATGGTAATTTAATTTTTATTTAGTTATGTTTAAAAGTTACTTGTTGATGTATTGAGAAACATTTAAGTAATTTACGTTTAATTAACAGTCAATTGGATGAATAACACTTATTGATTTATTGCTAAATTGGATACTTAATTGATAACCTAACTGATCATTGATTAAATTATTAATTCTTTGATTCCCCCTCGCCCCCAAACAGGCCATGGCTGCTTTCCTAGTAGCTTTGGTGCATTTGGCTCTGTTGCCATCAGCTTTCGGAGGTGCATATTATGGACACAAACCACATCCTCAACAACATCAACCCTTACCACAGATGCCTCACATGGGCATGGGAAAGGATATTTCACACATTCCATATCCACACTACAGAAAAGACCTACCAATGCACCTAAATAAAGGCAAAGATATCAAAGGTATGAACACTTGTTTATCTTAACACTTATGGTCACATTGTATATGATATACATGGTATTGTAGTACTGACCCAGTTTTCCCTTATAAAGGTGAGACCATTCCCAGAGGTGAGCAGGGTGTTCAAGGAGAGACTGGACCGCAAGGGCCCCCTGGGCCCCAAGGACCTCCTGGGCCTCAAGGTATTGGTATACAAGGCCCTCCTGGAAAGCCAGGACCTCCTGGTCCTCCAGGATTTCCGGGAGTTGGTAAGCCAGGAATGCCAGGTATGCCCGGGAAGCCAGGAGGTATTGGGCAACCTGGACAGCAAGGTGAACGGGGACCCAGAGGTGAAGAGGGACAACCAGGCATGACTGGGCCCCTCGGCCCTCCTGGACCCCCCGGCCTGCCAGGAATAGGAAAGTCTGGTGGACAAGGATTACCAGGACAGCCAGGGGCTAAGGGAGAGCCAGGACATAAAGGTTTCCCTGGTCTCCCAGGGTTACCTGGGCCTAAAGGAGACAGAGGAATTGGACAACCAGGCCCACTAGGGCTAAAAGGGCCAGTTGGCCCACCTGGCCCGCCAGGGCAAGCAGGATTACCGGGGGTGGGTAAACCTGGTCTTCCTGGTGTAGCAGGTCCACCTGGTATGCCAGGGAAACCTGGACAGCCTGGGGAGCCAGGTCCAGAAGGTCCACCTGGTGGACAGGGCCTACAAGGACCACAAGGGCCTCCTGGAATTGGAATTCCAGGAGAAAAAGGATTGCCAGGACAGCCAGGTGCACCTGGCCACAAAGGATTACAAGGGCCACCAGGGTTGCCTGGGAAACCTGGATTACCTGGATTTGGCAAACCTGGATACCCTGGCCCAAAGGGTGACAAAGGGATGGGAGGGCTTCCTGGTGCTCAAGGACCAAAAGGAGACAAAGGTTATGATGGTCAACCAGGTATGATGGGTCCCCCTGGTCAAACTGGTCCTCCAGGCCCTCCAGGACCAATGGGGGTACCAGGTGGAATTGGTTTCCCAGGACTAAAAGGAGAAGGAGGTACACAAGGTGCCAAAGGAGATCCCGGACCTATGGGGCAGCGAGGTCCTCCAGGATTTCCTGGCCAACCAGGCCTCCAAGGGGAAGATGGAGGACCCGGGCCAAGAGGACCACCAGGACCCATAGGTCCCAAAGGAGAAGGAGGAAGCAGAGGTCTACCTGGTCCCCCAGGTCCATCTGGCCTGCCTGGTCTTAAAGGAGAACTTGGTCAGCCTGGCCCCGAAGGACCACGGGGTCCTAAAGGCATTCCAGGACTTGCAGGACCAGGAGGACCAATTGGGCCTCCTGGACCTCCTGGGTCAAAGGGAGAAGTTGGTCTACCAGGTCAAGCTGGTACACCTGGTGAAGGCATTACTGGAACCCCTGGTGCTATTGGTCCAGCAGGTCCACCTGGCCAGAATGGATCCCCAGGTCAGCCAGGACTCCCAGGTTCACCGGGTCCTCCTGGACCCCCAGGCCCCCCTCCTTCACCCGACCTGATGGGTGTTCTTCCTGAGATGGGACCTGCCCTGGATGGTATGAAAACTGGTGGGTACAAGAAAGGGAAGTATGCAGGTGGGGGTGATATGATGGGTGCCAACGGTCTGGAGATGCCTGCTTTCACTGCCCAGCTGACCACACCATTCCCTCCAGTTGGCACGCCAATAGTGCTTGACAAACTACTATATAATGGGCGTCAGAATTACAACCCTCAGACCGGTGTATTCACCTGTGACCTCCCAGGCATCTACTATTTTGCCTATCATGTGCACTGCAAGGGTGCCAATGTATGGGTTGGGCTCTACAGGAATGGGGAGCCACTTATGTATACATATGATGAGTACAAGAAGGGATTCCTGGATCAAGCATCTGGGAGTGCTGTCATTCCATTACAACCAGGAGACACAGTTTATTTACAGTTACCATCTGACCAGGCAGCTGGATTTTATGCAGGACAGTATGTCCACTCCTCCTTCTCTGGATTTTTACTGTACCCAATGTAAACCACAAGAATAAGTGAAAGAATTTGAAGGAGAAAAAGGAAAAAAAAGAACTGACATTAAAATGTTTGACTTTTTAAAAATGTCAGTATTTTAAGTACATTTTCACAGGGAAGAAAAAAAACTAATAGAAACAGCTCCTTTAATCTCAACCTAACAATATCAGTATATGCAATGCTAAATTACAGAGTACTGTGTCTTTAAAGATACAACCTGCACAAAGACTCTGACAGATTGTAGTAAAAATGTTCAATTCAACACCACATTTAAACAGATTTTTTTAGAAGATTGTTTTTGTAACGTATTTATGTATTTGTTTTATTGATGATATCAAACATGAGTATACCTGCTTTAAAATGTTAAGAACACTATTTTTAATGTTGTTGTGACATTTGCATGATAACAAATGTATTTGCTTTGAATGGGATGAGAAAAGCCATTCAGTTTTTCAAAAATATCACATATCATGTTTGTCTTTATCAATAATTAAAAAAAAAAAATGTTAAAGGTTTTGCACACTTGTAATATTGTAACACAAGTGCTGTGTGAACTGCAACCAAAGTATGAATTTCTTTGTAGGTCTGTCTGTGTATGTGTGTGTGTGTGTGTATGTGCACTAGAGAGAGCATGTGTGTACGTGTGCTAGATTTTATTTTAGCCAAACTCCCTGCCCCCCAAACTTTAAATAATAATTTGTCTAACAACCACTTCTGTTTCTATAATAAACTGTCATCAAAATGAAAGTTTTACTGACAATACTTCATAAATACCTCTCACTATCATCAATCATATCACTTCCCTCGTTTCCAACCTTTTATATTATTATTTTTTTTTATTATTATTATTATTACTGATTGTGTAATAACCTGTCTTTATATGTGGGTCACTTTCTATAACGGTGCTAAAATTGTCTAATCCAGTGAAAATATCTTCCACCCCCTTTTATTTACTTTTTCTTTGATTTTTTTTAATAAAGATGACTTACATCCATAACTTTATGTCCATCAAAATTACATGAAATAAAAACACACTTCTTTCAAAAACATCATCTAACTATGGTCACTTGGGGAATTAAAATATCAAATTTAAGATCTTATTACCATGTCTGAAAATAGGTACTAAAAATAGGTCCTATAAAAATTATAGTTCAAAGGTGATCTGTAGTTAAACTCTGCACCTAAATCCTATGCTGCTCATTTATTAGTCATTTAAAAACGTGACACAGTTACTATAGTGATTGTCAATTATACTATTCAATAGTAATTATTAACACAATAGAAAACTACTGTGGTAACTTGGTCTTAGTCATCAAAAAGAGAAAAAGACTAAAATATTCCTTGGTTTAAAGGAGAGTTGTAACTGTATTTACAGTGAAAGACTAACCCAATAAAATAGGTAATGCATTCGAAGTTGTGGGGGGGAAAACGATGGCGAAAGCTTGTCGTTTTATTGTGCTCAAATTCTATGATTATCATTAACATCTATAAGCCTATAGCCTTCACCATAGTACGATTGTTTCGCCAGCTGTTACATCCTCTTCTCCCAGGAAGTAAGAGTGGTCAGGAACCTATTTAATATTAATAAGCCAAACCACCGCATCCTGCTCAGTACTCGGTGATGCTGATGATGCGCAGACAGAGATGCTGCGCTGTCAAATCACATTGCGCGAAGGGGCGGAGAGATTCTTTACTGCCCTGTTTGTGCGCATGAGCAACATATTATTGCCTTCATTGATAAAAACCCTTTGTGATAATATTTCCTCATCTAATCTTCTCACTGTCGCTTTCGGCGCGTTTTATCAATCCATACGGTAAGTTTTTTTGATTGAAATGCGCATCGTTTGAAATAGGGCCTACCTACTTTCAATTTACACAGTGATCCGTCTGTTAGTTCAAACGATCAATGTATCCTTCATCTGGAAACCGGCCGGCCGGCAATATGTGCCTATATTTTCTTAAATAGATCATTTATTTCGTTATTGTATAGGCTACAGACCTATATTTTTATGCTTCACCTTGCATGAACACATGAAATTCACACGCTTTGCTTATATATCGGGTTTAGTTTTCTTTTGGAGTGTTTTAATGTAAATTGTCCACTAGAATGCGCATGAGATATTATGTCATTTATCTTTACTGGGCCCTTATTAGATGTTGGTGCAGTATTATCCTTTTCAATTATTGTGCGGCTTGATAGATTAAATGTTGTATAGTTCATTTTAGCATTTTGAGATATTTCTATTACAATTCAAAAAGGCTCTGTACAATAATAATTGCAGCTTGCTAAAGTAATATGTCATGTATTGGTGCCTGTAAATAACATATATTTACAGGGTGTTACAGTCATCTGGAAATTGGCAATGGCATCACGTGCAGGCCCAAGAGCTGCAGGGACTGATGGGAGTGATTTTAAACACAGAGAGAAAGTGTCTTCCCACTATCAGATGAGGTAACTATAACCCTTATACTCTCACAGCAATATAACATAACCAATAACTGCATGTATATATCAGAATACTTATTTGAACTTTGAATATGTCTTTCAGTGCTTCATCAAAATCAGAAATAAAGAAGCTCACCGTAGTGCATTTCTTCATATGGATACTGGTGGCAGCTCAGGTGGCTGTTAGTCATCTCAATCTGGTGTCACATGATTTGGTGGCCATGCCCTATCAGTGGGAGTATCCATACCTTTTGAGTCTCCTCCCCTCGTTTATTGGAGCCCTGGCCATGCCGAAGAGCAACATCAGCTATCTGGTGATCTCCATGATCAGTGCTGGTTTGTTCTCAGTAGCACCCTTGATTTTTGGTGCAATGGAAATGTTTCCACTAGCCCAGCAGCTGTACCGACATGGAAAAGCTTACCGGTTTATCTTTGGCTTCTCAGCTGTATCTGTGATGTATCTACTCATGGTGATTGCTATTCAGGTGCACGCATGGCAAATCTACTACAGCAAGAAGCTTCTAGATGCCTGGTTCAACTCAACACAAGAGAAGAAGAAGAAATAAACATGCTATTGAGTACTTGAATTTATCCACCCTCATTTTCTGTCTCAGTTGTTACTGTACAATGCATGCAATTATTGTAAATGTTTAAATATACATTTGTAAGCAACAAAGCTTACTTAATGTGTGGATTTTACATTTTTTCATATATATTTAAATTAAGTTTACCTTTTTTTGTTTTAGCATCTTATTTAAAACCTGAAATTCTGTTTAATTACAAATTATTTAGTCCATGTCAAGAATACAGAGGCATTCAAATCATTTTTAATACTTTATAAATAAAATATTACTTTAAATATTTCATTGTTGTGTATTTTAAATGATAATTTCATTCTAAGCTTGATTTAAAAAAGCATGGTCTATCATAAGCTGTCTTTTTAGCTTGCATTTTCAATAGGAATTTATACTTTCTTTTATTATGTTGGTTCTAAATCTACTTCGGACACAATACTTTCACACATGATTTTTTATGGACTAGGAGGTGCTACATCAGAATCTTGTGAGAGTGAAGAGAAATGATTTGCCTTACGTGAATATAGAGGCTCCAATTATAAACCTATAATGCTTCATGTTATTGATTATAGCGAAGATTTTTTAAACTCTTGTAAAAACTCTTGATTATTTGTGGTTAATATGATGGGTTAGATCCAGAAAAAATGCTTGCGTACCCAAACTGTTTATAAAACAAACAAAACTGACTACAGAGGAACAACATAAAATCAGTTAAACTTGTCAGATTTATTTGTTTAAATGAACCTATATATTTAATATAAAATATATTTATATTATATTGGTTAACAAAATGCATTCAGACGCCATATAGGCCACCTCATCGGTAGTAGGCTAACTATTTATAAATTTACAAGACAGTAAGTAGTGTGTAAGCAGTGTCCGGATAGCGCGCATGCGCGTTTGTGGTTTTGCCACGTACAGGTCGCTAAGGCGTTTCCGATCAGTCAGTCAGGCGTCGTTCAGCTGAAGTCCGGGACACACAGGCTGCTGCTGGGATTGACACGTCCAAACCACCAGGTAGAGACGCGGGGCTTCTCGTACAAACATTTACATACTTTTATATGGTCCCTTTAGAGTTTTTAGGGCACTTCTGGTAATGAACCATTAGTAGTTAGCCGGTTGTCAAGCAAACTAGCATTAGCTTAGCTTAGCCTGTGAGAAACTAGGGCAAGCTAAAAAAAACAAGAGAGACGTTTTGTACAAAAGTCAGTGTTTTTGAATAACAATATGGCGTAGTTAAATAATCCTATTTAAAACACAGGAATAATTGTTTAATTGAGATTTGATTACAGTATTTTATCCTTTGACGCCGGGAGAATTGTCACGCTCAGACCTTTATTTGGCAGGAAGTTGCTGCATCATCAGATGAATGAGGCCTGATCAGATGTTTTAAATGGATCACACTTTGGCAAGACTTAAACGTCATGCTGGTGCGATGAAGGGAATGGCCCGATGTGTAATGCGATCCAAAAACCACATCTTCTGCTCTTCTAAAAGATGTTCAATAAGGATTTCTGACTTAGCTGGTGTGCTGTCGTTACTGGAAACTGTTGGCTGCCCTGTTTAACATGTTCAACCAGAGAAACCCTTCATTCGCATGACAAGTTCAAACAAAGTGTTAAAATGGTACTGCTTATTGAAATAAGACAGAAATAAATTCAATTTGAAATCAATTTGATTGACAGTTTGCCAAGCAGCCAGTTCCTTTATAGTTTTGTCATTTTCTCGATCTAGCAGGTAACAAGTCATTAAGTATGAGATAAATACAGGTCTGTCTACATGCTGCAGAGTACCAGGGTGAATGATAGGTAAACTAATCAGAGTAAGAGTCAAGATTCTCCTGATAAGATTGTCCCTGCTTGATCCCACACACTCAGATTGTTTGTATTGTGGTCTAAATCCCAAAATGTTTCTCCCTATAATCATGCCTGAGGCCAAAGACTGTGTTGAGAAAGAATGTGGGCCATCTGCATGTGCCAAATCATCTTATATCTCATGACCCTTAGACTTTTATATAAAGTATGTCCCAGTAATGTACAGTAGCACTTGTTCAGATATAACTTCATAGATGAGTCATAAGACAGTGGGTTTCCAATTAAGACACAGGCCTAAGTCATTCACTGACATTTTTATATCCATAACAAAAGCAGGGGAGTTAGCAGTGAGCGAAGACACTCATTGAGATACAACTATCAGATTTCATGGTTAACTGTTGTGTTGCGAGTGGAAATCTGTGCTTCTGATAGAAGAACATAATAATTGTGTCTTCATAGGTCATGTCGTTGGTTTAACTGTAGTCCATTAGCTCTGCGAGCCCGCATATGCCTACATTTAGTGTAGTATTCACTGCTGCAGCTCTGATAGTGTGTTTGGTTTCAGTTTGTTCCTGTACTATCAAGTGACGTCTGATGTGCATGTGATGCATTAAATAGTGATAAATGGAATGCTTCTTGAATAAACTTCTTAATGGTAAAGGTGTAATATCAGCTGTCAAATCATTTTGGACATTTTGACATGTCTCTTTGACATTTTTCTGCAATGGATTTTGAGAAATAGTCTGTATTTTTAGTCTGTATTTATAGTCTGTATTTTTTTAACTTATGTATAGGTAAACATTTATATATATATATATATATAGTATATTTATAATCAAAATCAGTCAGTAGGTTAGTTGTGTATAGGTTTTTACTGCTTTACTGTATAGGTTTTTACTGTTTTACTTCATTGTTGTATGCCTGTATTTATGTAACACCGTGGTCCTGTGAGGCACGACATTTCGTTCCACTGTATGTCCCCACATGCAGCAGAATGACAATAAAGCTCAACTTGAACTTGAACTTGAGTATTGTTCATTTAATTTCAATTTAAATCTCAATTTTGTGTGTCTCATTTGCCATTGTACTAAATTGGATAGTAAACTCTTTAGCTTATGGCACTGGTCTTGGCTGATGAAACCCGTATTTGTAATATATATATATATATATATATATACAGACAGTATTTTAAATAAAATTGTATTTTTTATTTATTTATTTTTTGCAGCAGTATGAATGGCCAGCTGGACCTGAGTGGGAAGCTGATCATTAAAGCTCAGCTGGGCGATGATATCCGCCGTATCCCCATCCACAATGAAGACATCACCTACGACGAGCTCCTGCTGATGATGCAGCGAGTCTTCCGTGGGCAGCTACAGAGCAGTGATGAAGTCGCCATCAAATATAAGGATGAAGGTCAGTTTTGGACTTCAAAACACGCTTATATTTAACTAATTTAAATTTAACAACTTAAAGAAGGTTATAGTAACTGGACAGCACGCATATATGTTTATTTAGCCATTTTTTATCAGTTATGTAGTATAAAACTATAAGATCTGTACACCTATAGATGTTCCTAATAAAATCTCTTAGTAGGTTTGTAGCATTGGAGGCTTTGATATAGATCTCATTCTCTCTACTGCTTTCACATGTGGTACAGTTTTATTTGAAGTTTAACTGCAAGTACTGCATTTATTCTCTGGTATTTTTATTTTTCTGTCCTCTTCCAGATGATGACCTTATCACCATCTTTGACAGTTCTGATTTGTCCTTTGCGATCCAGTGCAGTAGAATATTGAAGCTCACTCTTTTTGGTAAGAAACCAGCATTGCTTAAGGGTTTTTGCTCATCCTGACATTAAGGAATCTGCACAAAGATATCAGGAAGGAGCATGAAAGGAATGTGATGTAACTCTTTGTAAAGCTTGTAAGTTAATCAGTGTAAAAAGTAGTCCCACCTTAAAAGTGTAATGTAGAATATCGTAGTTTAAGTGATGTGCTTTAAAAGCTGAAATGTAAAGCACAGCCCACTTGCCTATTAGGCTTCAATTGTAAATTTATTACTGTTGGTTGTCCCTCAGTTTGTAAAATAAACAAGCTATTTTCTGTTATAATGACCACAGGCCACAGATACAGGCACAACAACACCGTTCTCGGCAGTGCTAATCATGCCTAGATTTAAGGTCAGTGATCATGTGTAGGTTTATCTTACCTGCAGGAAGATCATATTCCAAAAACGCTTCAGTGCTCATAGTGTCCCCTTACAGCATACCAGAAAGGTGCACAGGACTATTAGAACCAAGCAGCTCATGTGAACTACATACATTTTTATTGTTACAGCTCTAAAATATTTTATCGGGTAGAATGTAGTCGAGGCCTATAGCTGTTTCATGCTCTTTGACTGGTGTTTTACATACTAAAATAAAAGAGGCATATCAAGTTAAAGCTGCTTGATTCCTCTGTGTCTTTGTGACCCAGAAAACTGTGTTGTACTGTAACCTTTGGGTTAAAAAGGACTCTCTGTTAAGTACATCATTCCACATTGCATGGGTTGTGTTATACTGTGGAGTTAAGCTCTTTTAATCTTAAAAATGCTGAACTTGGTAATATTTCATCCAACCAGGAGATGTCGTTTTTTTCTCTTGTGAGATAACACAGCTGCAGCTTTTAATGTCCAGCAGAGGGTATAAAAGAGCAAGATTTTAACTGATAATGAGTCTATGTGTCTGGCTTTGTATGGTTATGAGCAGGGGGTTACAATAGGATTTTGGAGCCAGTGGAACATTAAATTCTGGTGGTGACCCCTTTAAGTGTTACTTGGGTGTCCAAATATTTGTTGGGCCACTAATATGGTTTAATAGAACATAAGGATTTTAAACGTATCATAGATGTTAACAGATATAATGCAGTACTCTGAACAGAAATGACATTACTTATGTTCTCTAAGAACATAAATTGTGACCAGTGGCCTTGGATATTTGAACAAGGAAGGTTAAAACAAAGCAGTGGTTCTCAACCAAGAGGCAAGGGGCCTCATGATGATTTAAACTGATTTCAAATGAAATAAAGCAAGCATTAAAATAAAAAAACAAAACAAAAAAATAGATATTTTGAGGTCTTGTATATTAATTCAGAATCAGAAGGGACTTTTTTACCAAGTATGTTTACACACACAAGGAGTTTGACTTGGCGACAGGAGCTTCCAGTGCAGAAGAAAGTGCAGACATAGTGTAAACATACATGATAGTGCAGACATACATATAATTACACAGTAAAGATGAAATTACACTAATATAAGAAAAAGAAATAATGCATCCCCCCCAACAACCTTTCTTTGAAGAAAACCTGGAT